TACCACCACCACCACAAGTAGTGAGTGCTTCTTCCTGTGTTTGCCTGGGCTTGGTCTTGGCTTTGTTCGGCCTTGTCTCTGCTCGGCTCTGCTCTGCTCTACTTGGCTCTGCTCGGCTCTACTCGGCTCTGCTCGGCTCGATAGCTCTCGCTCCCTCGCTCTGGCTGGAGACTCGCTGCTTGACGGACGACCCGTTGCTGACGGACGACCCGTTGCTTGATAACTCTCGCTCGGACATAGGTTCGGCGGACGACTCTTTGATCGACTGGTGAGTGCAATCACATCGCCACCGCTCCACCTCTTCATCTCGCCCCACTCGACACGCACCACTTTGTGACCGGGTGCCGCAGTCTGGACATCCTTTCTGTGCGCAGCGCACTTTTTCAACCCTTTGCGGTGTGTGCCGTGAGGCAGACATCAGTGCATGGAAGGTAGTCTGATTGCTGGCTGGTTTCTGTTGTTTTCTCTCTCGCTCGCATCTAGCTTTGTCCTTGGCATCGTCTTTGCCACCTTTGTACCCAAGTCGTCGGCCTATCTGACCGCTCTCGGTCACTCGATCTTTGACTCTTCGTCGTCTACATCGTCTCCCGCTCGGCCGTCGTCACCCCTGGCGTCAACAAGAGCGTACCTTTCGACTCTCTCCTTCTTCTCCTTCTTTTCCCTCTCGTCGTCGTACGGACAGGGCGCGGCAAACTCGCGTCAGGCGTCGACTTCACTCTCCTTGTTGCTGCCTCTCTTGAGAGCGCAACCTCATTCGGCCAACTTGGACGCAAGCACAGCCTCGGACTCGGACACGGGACCGGAGCTTCCGCGCGTCTTGGTGGCACCGGACGCATTTGATTCTCACCCGACGTCAGACATCATGCCTCGCAAGTCTGCGTCTCCAAGCGGCGCATCACGGCGCGGCGGCAGCGGCGGCAGCGGCGGGCGGAAGCGGTCGCGCGGACGGCGCGGCCAGGGCGGCAGCGGTGGGTCGCGGTCGCGCGGCGGCAGCGGGTCGTCGGTCAGCGGCGTGGCGGCGGGGCGGCCACGGCCGTCGCGGACACAGGCGGCCACCATGGGACTGCTTGCCACGTCATCGCCGGACGCGCTCAAGGCATACCACTCGGAAGTCGGCATGCACACCAAGCCGAGCGGGCTCAACACATCGGCACCCGAGTTTGCACTGCGGCCGGCGTCGTCGAGCCCCGGGCTGGCAGACGGCACTGGGCGCAAGGCGCGGGCCAAAGGTGGGTCGTCGCGGCAGCTGCTCGGCCCTGTGGAGCAGTCACCGGTGATCCACTGGCGGCGTGTGACTGGCGATATTTCGCTCGCTGACTTTGCTGCGTGTGGCACATCGATTCGTCGACGTCTTCTCACATTCATCATGGTTTCGGGCCAAGCAGGCATGCGCTGGATGAAGATAATCAGACTCGAGGCTGCGTTC